AGAGGGAAACGAGAGAGAACAAGGCCAGATCTCAGGAAACTGCATGAGAGATATTTGAGCGGCTTGAGGTCTCGTGGATCAGTGTTGTTGTATAGGCTTTTGGCGTCGCATTCCGTCGACAGTTATCGTGTGTTTTGTTACGACTAGTGTCAAGACTATTACATTCATTTAGTCAACAAGAGTTTCCAAATATGTGGTCGCGGAAGTTGTGACAAAATTGACGAATTCGTATTCAAGAAGAACAGAAAAGCTTTGGTGGGTATCAAACGACTCACTACGCCCCGACTAAACCATGCGCATGTATTAGATATGGTGCCGCATGCTCCATAATGACAAGCGTACGCAAGCGCGACGAAACACGATACACGTTGCAGACGTAGCTCATTCAGAGTCGTCACCTCCGCTGTCGCCGCTCTTATCATCCTCCTCGTCTTCCGACTCGCCCTGGACATCGTCATCATCGTCATCGTCGTCGTCGTTATCATCGCCGCCAGCCTCTTCCTCGCTATCGTCTTCCAGTACAACCTTCTGCTGTGGTACAGGTTTTGCTGCTGCCCTTCGGCTTGGCCGACCCGTGGCTGTGACTTCACTGGCTTTTCCCCACGCCGCTTCACCTTCTTTGATTGCCTCGAGGTCTTTCGCAAACTCCCTCTGCTCTTTGATCTTGGCTGCCTTTTCAACCGAGTATTTGCCATCCATGCCCACGTCCTTCAGCCAGCCCTTGAGCACGTGGATCTTATCCTTTGATGTGTCGCACTGGGAGAGCTCAGGGTCGCGCGACCAGACTTTTCGGATGCCGCACTTCACGAGCCAGCCTTGGAGTCGCTTGACTTCGGCGGTGTCGGGGTCGTCCTCGGTCTTCGCTTTGGGCGCGGCTTTTGGTTTCGCTGGGGCCTTTTCTTTCTTGCCCTTCGCAGCAGGGGCTTTCTTCTTTTTCTTGGGCTCTTCGTCTATGACGCTGGACAGATCACTGTCTGATACGTCGCCCTTTGTGTCTGCCTTCTTCGCTGGCTCAGGTTCGATGTCGCTCTCATCGTCGACCGCGGCGCTGGGTCTGGACGTCGGCTTCGGCGAATCCTCCTCGTCCGAGTCTTCTGCCACAGTCTTCTTCCCCCGCCGTACTAATTTCTTAGGTGGCTCGCTCTCTGCATCGGATATCTCTGCAGGTGGTTCTGAGAGCTCAGCTTCAGACTCTTCGGACTCGGTCTTCGCGCGCTTCTTGGGTTTCTTGGCAGGTGCCGCAGCCTTGCGCTTGGTGCCTCTGGCGTTCTCGGTGGCAGCCTTGGTCTTCTTTTCGGCGGGCTTCGCTTTGGGTTTGGGGGCGGCTTTTTTGGGAGTAGGCTGTGGTGAGGGCTCATCGGAGCAGAACTTCTCCTACATTTTTTTAGTAACTGGTCAGGCATTGGAAGTCGGGCTTCATACCACTGCGTCTACGATGACTTTCTGTGACTTCTCTTTCCATGTCGAGTCTGTCTTGAAGAAGCCTTCGTCTAGGGCTAGCTCCTTCTCTGCGCGCGCCCGAACGCGCTTGACGGTCAGATCCTCGCTTTTTCCAGATTTGTGGATCGCGATGACAATGTCGCGCAGTTTGGTTGAAATGGTCGCCTCAGAGGGCCGGTCTGCTTCGGAATCCGACATGATGGGCGGCGCGTTCGTAGATGGTGTTGATGATCGACGGCCGTACGCGATAGACGCGGCGGTTAGGGCAGGCACGTCGCCGGTAGCGTACACGTGACTCCCCGGAGAGATCCAATGGCGTCAAGTGGCATCAGGGCCTGCGGGGAATTTGTCGTGTCGAGCCACGGCGATGTATCAGTTGAATCCCATTCCTTCCTGCTGATTGCATGAATCGCATGGTATTGCCAATGCAGATGCCCATAGATGATGCTGGGCGCCGCCCTTTGACGTCGAGTTGGTCTGTGAGCGCCCCGCGTCTGCTGGGTTGGGCAGCTCCACGACCGACGTCACATTTATTCCCAAGTTTCACACAGACACCGCCAGCTTCATTCAGTGTTTTCCAACGCGGCCTACACCTGTCAGCGACCGAGCTGCATGCCGCCAGTCCCGACCGCCCCTAGCCCCAGTCATCTTCAACTTTAGCATCTGCCCGGGTTGTAACTGCGCCCTGCCGTCTGCCAACTCTGGCCGCTTGAGCTCGGAACCTGCGAGAAGCCGCCTCCACCTTCGAGCGGGCCTTGATCTATTATCATTCTTTCGTCACGCCAGCACCACAATTAAAATAACTGATCCCTCCCCCCTCGCGCCAAAGGAAACCTACCCACACCGCCTGCTCACCGGCCCCAGCCACGTTGCGGAGGTGAATGCTGACCTCGCCCAACACCCTACGCCGCAGATAAATTTCCTGTCAGGAGTGTCGCGACTCAACCACCTTACAACCCCCACTATCCAACATATCCACCGCCAAGATGTCTAACGCGCCCACAACCCTCAAGCAGCCCGAGTCGTCGGAGGGACGTCTGCTGCTCGTGTCGAACCGACTGCCCATCACCATCAAGCGCTCCGATGAGGGCAAGTACGACATGTCCATGTCCTCGGGAGGACTGGTCAGCGGTTTGAGCGGACTCTCTAAGACCACCACCTTCCAGTGGTATGGCTGGCCCGGACTTGAAGTCCCCGAGGACGAGACAAAGACCTTGAACGACCAGCTCAAGGAGAAGTACAACGCGGTACCTGTCATGCTCGACGATGAGCTCGCAGACAGGCATTACAATGGATTCTCAAGTGAGACTACCAATACCAAACTATATCACTGCAAGCGCTAACAGTCGTAGACGAGATCATGTGGCCGCTCTTCCACTACCACCCCGGTGAGATTACCTTCGACGAGTCCGCTTGGGACGCCTACACCGAGGCCAACCGCCTGTTCGCAAAGGCCGTCGCAAAGGACGTACAAGACAACGACATGGTCTGGGTGCACGACTACCACCTGATGCTCATGCCCGCCATGTTGCGCGAGGAACTCGGCAACACCAAGAAGAATGTCAAGATCGGCTTCTTCCTGCACACACCTTTCCCCAGTTCCGAGATTTACCGAATCCTCCCCGTCCGCAACGAGATCCTGCTCGGCGTTCTCCACTGCGACCTCATTGGCTTCCACACATACGACTATGCTCGTCATTTCCTGAGTAGTTGCTCGCGCATCCTGTAGGTATCAGCCCAAGGGCAGAGTTCGCACTTGCTAACTCAGACCAGGGGACTTGCTACAACACCAAACGGAGTCGAGTTCAAGGGCAAGGTCGTTACTGTCGGCGCTTTCCCCATCGGTATCGATCCCGAGAAGTTCGACGAGGGTCTCCAGAAGCCCAAGGTACAAGAGCGGATAGCAGCCCTCGAGAAGAAGTTCCAGGGTGTCAAGCTCATCGTTGGTGTTGATCGCCTCGACTACATCAAGGGTGTACCACAGAAGCTGCACGCTCTCGAGGTATTCCTCACAGAGCATCCCGAATGGATCGGCAAGGTCGTGCTTGTACAAGTCGCCGTTCCTTCCCGGCAAGACGTCGAGGAGTACCAGAACCTCCGCGCAGTCGTCAATGAGCTTGTTGGTCGCATCAATGGCAAGTTCGGCACTATCGAGTTCATGCCTATCCACTTCATGCACAAGTCGGTCTCTTTCGACGAGCTTATTGCGCTCTACGCTGTCTCAGATGTCTGTCTTGTATCTTCGACACGCGACGGTATGAACCTGGTGTCCTACGAGTACATCGCGACACAGGAGAAGCGACACGGTGTCATGATCTTGTCCGAGTTCACTGGTGCTGCACAGAGCTTGAACGGCAGTCTTATCGTCAACCCATGGAACACCGAGGAGTTGGCGGATGCTATTCATGACGCAGTCACCATGGGCGATGAGCAACGCAGTCTAAACTACCAAAAGCTGTCCAAATACGTCCGGAAATACACTAGGTAAGTACCCACGATTATATATCGATCGACACGTTCTAACATCACATAGCGCATGGTGGGGCGAGTCGTTTGTCACCGAACTTAGAAGGATCTCGGAGACGCCAGACCGCAAAGTACACTTCGCTAACGCTCCGGTCGCGGGAGTTGATGACGCTACAAAGACTGCTGGTGAGACGAGCTCAGAGCTACCGATTCGTCAGGAAACCGGCAACAAGGACAAAGAGTCAGACCCGGCCGCTGCTGTCGATGCTCAAAAGGAGATCGACGGCGCATCTAGCCGATAGGCGCTGTGCCCCACGGTGAGCACCTCTGATTATTACGACGGATGATTTCATGTGACGAAAGTTCGGCGTGATGGATTCGCTTGGGTTAGACGATTGATGAAGGTTCCAATTCTCACAGTACCCCCTCAATTACTAGATCTTCTTACCTAGAAGCTGTAGTGGAAACATCACTGCAGCAACAATATACCCCTTCTACACACGACCTTGCTCTTTGTACTCTGATTGCTACTGTTTTGTTCCGCGAATGAGTTCGTACCTTTGTGAGAAACGTGTAGGCGTGGGCGGCGGATGATGCTCCTGCCTTCGATTGTCCCTGCCAAGTCATTAGCGCGTCATCACCCGCTCTTGCAAACCTCCCACCTCCGGTTTTCACGTGTTCAGCTCCCCAACTCTCATCGCCGACACGAAGATTCCCATCAACAGGCTTGGAAACAAGGGGTGATGCATTCTGTTTTACGCGTCAACACGGATTTGTCTTTGATGTTGGCGCACAAAACACGATCATAAGATACCACAATGGAGCAGCCTGCGTGTTTCATCTGCGGTCTGACTATCTCGGTATAGCACTGACATGACCAGATCTCAGCAGTCGACCTACTCAGCACCGCCTATCCATTACTCAATCATAGCGCCAGAAAGCTCAAGCTCTACGAGTCGAACCAAGCTTATGTGCGCAACTGCTGCGTCAACTCGGAAGGAACTCCCGACCCTCTTTCCAGATAGCACCAATCCCTTCAAATACCGACATTTGCGGCCTCTTCAACCGCCAGGTCACCGTTTGAACTACCATCCTCACTTCTGTTTGAACATCTTTCCCTCCCATCCGTACGCACGAGCGAGTCGACGGCCATACTGCCTGGCCAACGTTAACGGCACCTCGCCGCCGGGGTGTGGCTCATGGAACTGGATGCCGCGTGGCAAGTCCAGCTTCTTTGGTGTGAACTGCCATGCTGATCCATGCAGCTTCTCGACAGCAAATCCCAGCTTGGTGAGTGTAGCCACAACCTGGTCCCAGCGTATTTTGCCTGGAGTTTCATTATCGTTCGGCATGTAAAACAACGCCTTAAGAACAGCGTAGGCATCCTTTCCAACGTGATATAACGGTTTCGACACAAGCGTCGGTTGATCCTTCGGGTGTTGGTCGACATCGCTGATCACGAGTGCCATCGCGCCATGCGTCTTCGATTTAGACTTACTAGCCAACGCTAGTCGATTGAAGTTGCCAGTGATCTCCTGGGTTGAATCGTGGAATGATTCGAATACCGGAATGTACTCATATACAACGGGTATCGAAGTTGTGCCAAGATCTTCGGGGTCGTGCCACTGAGCTGTTCTGCGCATTGGACCGCCCTCTTCGAAAAGCCGACGTATGGTGTCATGCTGCGAACAGCCCGTGAGCTTGCGAAACGAGTTATCTACGTACCTCCAAAACCTGTCTAGATTGCGTTCGGCTTTGCGACGTGCATCAACGGTCTGTTTGGAGTGGGCATCTTCACTAGGGTAATTGAACTTTCCATCCGTCGGATCACCGAGATTTGGCGCGATGATCCCTTCGCAACAACTCGACATTGTTCCACGCCAGGCTTCGAGACCCTTGCAGAAGTCTTCCAACATCCCAGGCAACAGCGGTTTCTTATCCAAATGGCTGAACATGTTACCCAGGAAGTCATAGCAGGAAGAGATTCGCAACTGATGAAGACATTCGACACTGATAGACAGCTCATTGAGAGTGACTTCTATCATAGGTGAAAGCTTTTGCCTTGCTGATGGTTCGCGTTGACAGTGTGTCTCGAGAAAATCCAAAAGAAAATGGAGTTTGTCGGCTTCGTCGTACTCAACGGAGAGAGATGTCAGTAGTACTTGTGTACGCCTTCCAATTTCATCGTCGGTCTCCTTGGTTTGAACGGTATAGTCAGGTCGTCCAGGCTTGGGCACGCTGACCCGAAGATGGCGTAATTGAGGTGCGCCGAGGCATATGTTCCGCAGATGTCTCTTCGCTGAATCCTTTCTTGTACGCAACATGTAGTACACAATCCCCACTGCGTCCCAATACCGCTCAATGAGCTCCGATGTCGCTGGCCCATTAACGACACATTCATGAAGAGCTTCCAGCTTGACGAGCTCTTGATGTATCTGATCCCAGAAGATGAGACCAGCGTATGCCTTTACCAAGATTTCACGAAGGATACTGCTATAGAATTTTCTGCTTCCCAGCATCGAGCATGGCTGCCCCTTATCATTCAGGACGTTCTCGTGGCGATGGTCCGCATAAGCTTGGACATATTCTGCGAAGTACGCAGGGTCCTCCCGTAAAGCCCAAGCGTGGTCTTTGGCATTCTCTAGTACTGTCGAAACTAGATATCGAATTCGTGCGAAGTCTGGTGCAGCTCTCGCAGTATACGGTGCCTTGCGAGATGCATCGGCGAAGCTGCTAATCATCTCTTCTTGGCCGGATAAGCTCGGTGGCATAGGCTTGATGGGGAAGAGATCGCTGCACAGAGAATCTGGTGTGATCTCATGCATGATATTTTCGCAGCAGCCGACAAGAAACCTCAAGATACCCTCTTGGATGCGAAGAATCTGTAGCCCTAATCCTATCTCATATTCAATCTGCTCTTCCTCGTCATCCTGGCTCTTGAGTTGCGGTTCGCATTCAAAGCCGACCACACGACCATACGCCCACTCTTCTTCTATTTCTTCATCACCTTCACGCTGATCCCCAATAAGAATCTTGACGTGCGCGTAGCGGTCCCCGGTCGTATGGCGTATGCCCAGCGCGGAGAAATTAGGTTCGGATGGAGCAAACGTTCCAGGACAATTGCGGCCGCGCGCGTTTACGAAGACGAGTAGTGACTTCGCATCCGACAGATCCTCTAGGTTGATATAGGGCCAGAGGTCGCTTCCAGGTATCGGCTTATCCGCTTCTTTGCATGCGCAGTCAGCGCAGTAATGAGGAGGCTCTTCGCAATCCGGTCGGTGCAGGTGAGGAATATCAGGCTGCACCACACAGAGTAGCTCCCGACGCTTTGCCTGCGACTTCTTCTTCCATCGAGCTCGGATGGTGTCTTCATGTCGCACCAAGATCTCATTGAGTTGCCCCCAATGTGTGTATATGTTTTCGCTCATGGAGCTAACTGCATTGACAACCAAGTCCGGCGGCAGATCAAGCTCCCCGTCCTCGCTCCGCAGGATCTTGAGGATGGTATCAACGTCGTCCATCTGATTGAATCTACGAGTATGTCAATATGCTTCTCGTGACTTGCAAAGAAGGGATACGTACATTGGCGTTGTGCTAGGTAAGAGAGAATTGATCAGCTGGAAAAGTCCAGCGGCTGTTGTTGATGCAAAGTCAACAAAGCTATCTCGCGTCCGCGTTTGCGGTGGAGAAGCGGGTGTGAATTTTCACGGTGAGTGAGTCTATTTGCAAACGCAACGAGTGTGGCGCTATGACCAGCAACAGGTTGCCTGGGTGAAGCGCAAGTTGCGCGCATGTACATCTACGATACTACTAGACAAGCCTGCCAGAACTTGCAGCATGTCACATTCCCGGTCATTGTTGTTAAATCGTGAGGCATCATAGTCGTGTGCTGTCATGTCTATCTGGTGGATTGCTTGCTGTCTTTTTCCTCGAAAAGTCACTATTCTGCTCCCTCCTTCTGCGATAAAGCACCCTCCATATCACGCGCATAACTGGTAGCTGGACCTTTCATGTTAGCTGTGCAATCGAGCGCTCTTTTCTTGTAGTTTACAGTTATAGAGGCTAGTCTGTATGCAATCAGAAGTTCATTTTTGTCATCTGCGATTACCCGCATGTCACGACATGGGTGCACACACTATCCGGGGGAACAGTTCCCCGAGGGTCTATTATTATCGCCAATAGGTTCGCTTACTCGGTTCAAAGATCTCGTCTTAAAGTTGTTTGGAAATTTCTCATCAGAAAATACCCCATCGTATGGGTACAGTATGATCTGCGGAAGTCGTGAGTGCCTGATCGTGGCCATTATGCATTAGGAAATTACCCTTAGCTACAGTCTATTTGGATTGATAGCATCTCACACACTCTCAGTTGAGCTATAAAAGTAATGTAGGCAACATAATGCCCAGGTGACGTACCTGACGGCTCCCACTTCCTCACCTCCCGCCGCACCTCCCAAGTGAAAGGAGCGCTCTTTCCCCTCCGGTCCTGCACCCACCTCTATATCTAGCATTACCAGCTCTCCCTACTGACCTTCTACACCACCCATACACTATCTCCACATCTCCACTATGAAGTACCTCAGTATCATCACCATCGCGAGCCTAAGCGTAAGCGCCCTCAGCTCCGCCGTACCACGCGGCGTACTCTCGGACTGCACCCATAATCAAAACGGCGCCTGCGTCTCTTCGCCCGCACAGTGCACAGAAGGCGAACTACAATGTCTGACTACTCTCCACATCGGCTACGACGGTATAAACATCTGCAAGAACGGAACATGGGAGGCACGCGACACATGTCGCTGCAAGGATACGCCATCGCCCCAATGCATCGACTCTGAGCTCTCTTCTCGCGACAACACCCTGCACCGCCGATGCGAGGAAGGCGTGCCAAAGTGTATGCTGCGGGAGAACAACGGGATGGGAGGCGTGCTCTTCAACTGCAAGAACGGGTTCTGGAAAACTGCTATGCGTTGTCGGTCTTCTGAGCGTTGTCATGATGGGAAGTTGGCTACTTGTTCGTGGCTTGGTGCAGCTTAGGGGAATGGATAGGAGAGATGTTTTGGCTATTGTCGTCGCTGAGATGGGAGAGCTGGGTAGTACTGTGAGCTCTGGGAGTAATAGCCGTGAGCAGGGAACAGGCAGATGGCACGGATGACCGCTTTATCACTTTGTTGTATTCTTACGACTCTACTATCAACAGGAATGGAAGAATGCTATCGCCATCTCAAGGTATCGCTACATCCCCAACTCTTCAAACGCCGTCAACACGTACTCATTTCGTATAAATCACCATCTACATGTTCGCCAACAAGTACTTCAAACCAGCCCACATCTCCTCACCACTGGGCAAGATCTGCGCAGCGGGCAGGACGAATCCGTAGTTGCCGGTGTCCCTTAGCTCCACGGTCATGGAGTAGTTTGCCTTGGCAACCTCGAAGGCGTAGTCCACAGAGTCGCCGCTGACCTGGTAAATCGTGTTGCAGATAGGGCCACCTGTGAATGTAGTTCCGTGCACAGCCTTGACAGCGGCAATGGCGCCCTTGGTGAGGGAAGCATACTTCGAGGAGTTGGGGACGACACCAGAGCATGTGTATCCGTATGGGTACATCCAAAGCTGGCTGTAGGCGTGGATGTCCATGTACAGCGCGATTCCGCGGCCAGCGGCTAGGCTGTCTAGTTGGGCCTTGAGCAGCTTAGTCTCTACACCGTCGCCTGCAGATGGGCCCTTGTAATCTTGAGCGCAGGGGGAGGTCGAAGCGCCTTGGGGTAGGTCCCAGTGGGATGGCCAGTTGCGGTTGATGTCGCGGCCTACGCAAGACGCCGAGGGAGTGGTCTGACGGTTCTTGCGCCACAGACGGTCGGCTGACTGGGTGTAGGCGAAGCCATCTGGGTTCACGATGGGGAAGATGTAAAAGTCGTACGAGTTCTTGAATCCGGCCGTGGTGGAGTCGGTGGATGTGAGCAGCTGGTACGCAGCGTATTCGACGACCTGGACGAATCGATTAGTATAATGACATTCATTCCCAGGGCAAAGTTTCGACATACCATTGTTGTGATCCATTCTCGTGCGTGGACTGTGCCGTGCCAGACTACAGCCCGCTTGGATCCCTTGCCGCCGCTGCCCCAGATGTGGATTCCTTTGATGTCGCGACCCTCGACTGACTTGCCAGCGGAAACTACTTCAGCATTTTTTGGGTACGCCGCGGCAAGATCTGTGATCCATTGCATATGGTCGGCAATAGAGTGGTACGCGTTGAACCAAGAGGCACTTGGTGCTGCACCGGCTGGAGCATACATTAGAATAGAAACATAAGTTTACGAATTCCCTACGACAATGTAGACTTCTGGTGTATTTTCCTGCATGGTATGGAGTAAGCTTACCGGCATAGATGCTGACAGTTTGCTCATCCGCGATAGAACGGCCAAGGTTGTCGTGCATGACCTTGGTCTATCCAGTTGTTAGTGTCAAGAAAAGCTTGTAACTAGGAGGTTACATACTGTCAAAAAGTTAGCTAAATATCTTCAAAAGTACTCGTGGCGGCAACTTTACCCTCAATATCCTTTGTCGACGCTTCAAAGTCCTTGACTGCCGAAGGTGGGACCATAACGTCGACCACATCGCTGGATGCTGGCTTGCCCTTCCACAAGTCAAGTGAGAGCTTGCTCATGACATCGCCGATTTTGGCAGCGTTGGCACCGACATTGACGCGGTACACCTTCCAGTCATCGTAGTTGACCTTCTTTGTGTTGACGGTGGCCGCAGACGCTAAGCCTAAAGAAGCAAGGGCGATGTTGAGGAGCTTCATGGTATGTGAGGATGAAGGAGAAGCGTGAGGGAAGACTCCAGATGAAGGCACCGACTATGCTACCTATATATTCAGTGGTAGACCAGATGATATCGCGCAGCCCTGCTCTATACCGGCACTAAAAGGTTAGCCCCGGCTCCTCCAATGCAGATGCGGAAGGTCGTCAAAGATCCCCAGATTCGCGCCGACCCGGTCGCTAGCACCATGAACGGAAGGAACGAAACAGGTGGCTGCAGACTACATTAGTATGAAAACGAAAGTTTGGGAGATCCGTAGGGTAATGTAGACTCCCAGATCATTGTTTGTTTGGTCTCTGATTTGGATGGGGCCGACAAATCAACGTCATCATGTACCCAACCAACCAAAGAACAAAATAATTGCAATCGGATCACCACGAAACAAGCGCGACCACAAGAAGATCCTTGAATCAGGTGCTGCTAAATTCGAGATAGAGACGATCATAAAAACACCAACGCGCGACCATTCGTTGACGGTGACCCTTGGCGTTTACGTGCCTACTGGTTTAGGCAGTTCGCTGGCTATGGCGGTTTGGTCCCCTGCTGATCCGTCTAGGCGCATGATGCTTGGGTCGCCTTCGAGCTTATCGTGGCCTTGGGATATTAACTACCGTCGCAATGGAAACAGCTTCCTGGGCGAGCGTTTGCTCCGTAGGAGATTAATGCGAGTCGGGCAGGTGGGCTGTGGGGGCGCTACTGCCATTGAACGCGGTGTGTTTGTTGTAGAGTGTGAGTGGTCATCTGGTGAACTTTTGATCGACTCCGTATCATGGTTGTGTATTGAGCCAATAAGTCATGTGTAACGAGATGGTAAGGTTGTGCAGGGACAGTGAAGCGTTCCGAGGTTCGCTGTGGCGGGGCGGGGTGCACGTGTTGTCTTGGCAGCGATCATGGCAACACCATGGAGCGCAACGATCGTTCGTGTTTCTATCTTGCACATCGATTCACGTCAACTTAATAAAAACTTAATACCCTAGAGCCTACGTTAACGTTAAATTACCTACTTTACAGGTTCTTGTCTTAATGTAGTCCGCAGACCTGTTCAGTTTTCTTTTCGTGTACAAGGTGGATTGAGGCATCTTGGAGTATAGAGATGTCGACGCGCACCCTACTCCGTTCGCTCCTTCAAGCTCTAGCGGCTAGACCAAACAATAACGTGCCATACTGAACGAATCGCTATGGCCTTCGTTGTAATTGTTCCAAGATTCGCTAAAGAATGGCTGTGGGCACCATAAGGTACACGCGAAACTTGGTAGAGCCACTGCAAAAACTGGACATGATCTTGGCTAATTGTCACTCTTCGTCGCATTTCTTCCACATAACACACTCTCCATTTTCCTCAGACTCCCTCTCATCATCCACGATCTCATATCTTCGCCATGTCATCACTACTAATAAACGCCGCGTGCGCGTTATCGACCTACGTACAGATGGTAATACGGCCGACACCTTCACAAGAGCCCAGCGTAAAGATATTCCACACCTTCTACATGCTGGTACCAATGTGCTTGTGGACCGTATACTGCCAAGAGCGCTTGGTCAATTTGATCGTAGGAGAAAGACAAGGTGGGATAATGACGAACTTGAAACACTTCGTCGCATGGTGGCTGATGTATTACTTGGTATACTTCATGGCGTGGAGCCCGACGCTGCTTTATATATACCTGCCCGTTTTGTCTGAGTTAGGTGTTAGATGGTCTATTTGACCTTCTTTCGGACCTCAAGCGGCTGCGAAAACCGCATTGGTGCTTTCCGGTAGCATTCCCGTATAGTCGACCCTTTACTCTCTCTTCAGTCCGACCTTGCCCGCCTTCCTTAGCCCCACGACAGCGATCATCATACAAACGACCATATACCCGAACATAAGCCAATAGCTCGCCCTATACCCCTTCAACACAGCCACATCATCCTGGTCCTCAAACGCTCCGCCGCCATCACCATCACCATGGCCACCAGTACCCGTACTCCCGCTCTTAACCTGCACCCCCAGCGCAACAACCTGGCAACTACCCATACCCAAGCTCATACCAAACTGCGCGACAGTATTGAACACAGCACCAGCGAGCGCCTGCGTCTTCTCCGGGAAGTTGTCACTTACGATGATGAGACCAACAGTGAACAAGACATCGGCACTGAACGGGGCGAATATCTGCGCCCAGAAAGCTAGTTTCCAGTAGCTCCATGCTGGGGGTACAACGGCCATTAGGAGGGGCGAGATGGCGCAGATGAAGGCGGAGCCGGCGACGAGCCAGCGGGCAGACACGCGGTGGACGAATAGACCGACGGAGATTTGGATCAGGACGCCAGCTAGGAGGTCGGGGAGGAGGTAGAGGGATGTTGCTAGCATGGAGGCGTGTTGGACTTCTTGGAAACTGGACTTGGGGTTAGCCATGGACTTTTGCCTTGTTGCGCAATAGGATGGTGGACGGTGGATGGTGATACATACTATAGACTGGAGAAGAGCTCAATGGAGTTCATGACGCCGTAAGAGAGTGCGACCATGATGCATGTGCTGGTAAAGGGGAGACTGCTCCACAGCTTGTTCGGTACGAGGGCTGTTTTTCCACGTCGCTCGCGGTAGTGCATCCAGGCTGGAAAGACACAGAGAAGGAGGATACTGATAGTGAGAAGCGAGGCTGTCTCGGCTGAGCGAATGCTTGTCAGGTCGGCGCTGATGATACTACATGCTGTCAGCTTTATTGGAATCAGACGATGAAGAGAAAACACATACGCAAGGACATATGCGAGGATAGCCAGGCCGCCACTAGATATTATACCACCAACCCAATCAATCTCCCTACCAACCTTCTTCCAAAGCGCAACCACACCATCCTGATTCTGGGAAGGCAGTTTAGGAAGCGTCCAGACCGCAGCCACAGCGGCCGCCAACGTACACCCTCCAGTCACGTAAAACCCTAAGCGCCATCCCGCTCTTTCAATCATAACACCACTCAAGACCAACCCCACAGCAAACCCAAGCGGCTGACTGAACCCCAAACACGCAAACCCAAGATTCCTCGCTCTTCCGGACGGCACAGCACCAGTAATGATGGCAACAGAGGCGGGTAAATGCAACGCAAGCGCCACACCTTGAAGAGCCCGAAAAGCTACGAGCTGCCCGCCGGTCTGTGCAAACCCACATGCTAACGTGAAAACACCGAGGAAGGTGATGCCAGTGAGCTCCACGGATCTAGCACCTACTATATCGGCTACAGAACCAGCGATGAGAAGTGCAGCGCCGGATGTGAGACCATAGACGGAGGATGGCCATAGGTAAAGAGAGCGTTCGAGAGCGATGGAACGTGCGATCGAGGGGAGGCCGACTGTGATGATGCCGTTGGTGAAACTAGCTATGAAGCCGACGAAGGAGGGGGTAAAGATTGTGAGGAAGGTACAGAGGGTGGATGGTTGTGTGACGGATGCCGTGGTGGATGACTCGGTGTCGGAAATGCGGTGACCATAATTCGAGACTTCTTGCGATGGCCGTGGTGGATGATAGATAGGTTTTATGGTTGTGGTTTTGGGTGTTGGCTGGAGCTCGAAGACCGAAGTCGCTGTTTGTGTCTGCGTCGCCATCTTCCAACCTTTTCAACAGGGTATGAACGAACAATTGTTCTGGTCTTAGAGAGAAAAGAAGCTCTTGAGAAGACTATAATGCTCATAATGTTCTAGTGGGTTCGTTGAAAATTGTGGTAGAGGAAATCCTTTGGTGACTAGCTTCGCGCCCTACGACGGGCGACATGTCAAAAGTCAGGGTCCACCATTTGGGTCGAGAATTTTGATCATCGGGAGAAGCATGGAAGAAGACAGTGTATTCATTGTCAGCTGTCAGTGATGCAGTCGCATCTATCGAGGTTGAGCGGATGGCGTTCACGGGTTGCCAAGGCTGTTCTTCGGATGCAGGTACAAGCCCTGGAGAGAAGGAACGAAGGCGCTAAAGTTTTGCTGAGCTTACGACGGTTACTACGGTGCTACGGTATGCGCAAGACATGGGACTAGTTCGGGGATGTGGACTTCCCGCAAAAGCGTGATGCAGGGCGCTGCAAGCCCTTTATGGGGCTCTTCGCGAAGGCGATCGTTGGCGCGCATGGCCACACCGCCGACTCCGTTTCTACGCGTCGCGTCAAAAAGCGGTAAAGAAAAAGAGGACAATTGTTGAGATGGTGTGCTGTACCGTCTGGCCTAGACAGACTTCCAATCAATCGCGCGACGCCGCGTGGCATTCAACTGGATTGAAGTTGGCGGCCGTGCTGTTGCTGCATCAACGACTTTGTTTGGGTGACGTCGGCTCGCGTCCCCAACCTCGTCCTAACCTCCTGCATTTGCCCACCAGCCACCCGCACCCAACACGCTTCAGACCAAAAGTTAACGGGAGCCACGCTTCCACGCTCCAAACCCCACACTACACATTGCTACCAACACTACAGAATACTCTCTGACTACTTTCTGCCAGTTGCATTCGCTGTTCGACTCGCTATAATCGACCTGCACCTGCGAAAACACCACCACCACCCTCTCGCCTACCATGGCGCCCCATCCCGACATTGCCGCTGACGAGCGGGCACTCTCGCCCATGGCCGTGAATGCTCTGCAGCTGGCCAAGTCAATGGTCAAGCGCGACCAACCTGAGCCATACAAGAACCTCGCCTCAGCGGGTGCACGCCCACCCAACGACCTCTCAGGACCCGGCTTCCAGGCTCTGTTTGCTCTCATCGGTGTCGGGCTCGCCCTCGGAGCCATCTGGTTCTTCTTCTGGGCTAAGAACGGTGGCTTCAAGTGGCGCGACAACGACTGGGAGGACTACAAATCAACTGTGCTAAGACGCAAGGGACCCGACGGAAAGACTCTGTCCAACGCAACCAAGAGCACCAAGCTCGGCGGTGGCAGTGTCGTACACGGTGGCAGCTACTTCGGCGAACAGAGCGAGCTTAACTACACGGATGAGTCTGGTACCAGTGTCGACCCCAACGAATACCGCGACGCCGAGAGGGGCGAGGGCGGCCTCCGTGGCGGAGACGGACGAAGGCATAAGAAGCACCGCCGCGACCACACCAACGACTACAAAGACCCTGAGCTCCGCAAGTACCGCGAGGAGAAGGCTGCCCGTGTCGGTGGCCTCAACCGCGTTGGCGATGGCATGTACACCGACTACTCCGGCTCTCAACCCTCTGAAGTCGGCGGCTCCCAGGTCTCTAGTAACGCACCGCTTGTAAAGAAGGACGCCAAGGAAGTCAAGGACCCCAAGAAGGAAGCCAAAGCCAAGGAGATGCGCGCAAGGGAACGCATGCGCAAGGCCAAAGCCGCCGAAAAGGAAGCCGCCAAGAAGGAAGCCGCTGAAGCCAAAGCCCGCAAGGAAGAACAAAAGGCAGAGGCCAAGCGCGCAAAGGAAGAGCAGAAGAAGTCCAAGAAGCACGGCACACCCTCTGAGGCTCCCGAAATGGCTGAAGTCACCCGTCCCATGATCGAGTACCGTTCCCCCGAGAGTGACTACACCCGCGCCTACACTGAGTACACCGCCCCATCTGAAGCCGGAACACCAACACGCGCTCCCACAAGGAGCAAGGCCCCGTCAGGACCTCGCCGTGCTCCTCCTTCCGCTGCATACTCCTTCACCACCGGCGACGACGACACCGCAACCGTCTACACCGGCGTCTCTACCTCTGACTTCGCCAAACCGCCTCCACCAAAGGCTGCCCCCAAGACCGAGCGCAGCGCCCCCTCCGAAGTCACCGAGTCAAGCTACTACTCTGACTACCGTCCCAACGCCGACAAGTCCCTCTACTCCGACCCCAACAAGCATGCGCCCCGCTCCCGCTCAGCCCGCCCATCTCAAGACCGCCCTTCCCAAGACCGCACCTCGCGCTCCGGCCGCCCAACCTCTGAGTCTCGTCCCCGCCCCTCAGGCTCGCGTTCGCGTCCTACCTCTGAGTCGCCCCGCAAGCAACACCGCACTTCGCGCCCTGCTCCCCCTGCATCTGACATCTTCACCACCACCAACGGTGATTCTCAGGGCCACATGAGCTACCCGTGCCACATCCCTGGTCTTAGCCAGGCGGGTAGTGTGCACCCCATGGAGAGCGTTTCTCAAGTCGGTGTCCCGACTAACGCGAGGAGGGAGAGGGGCGGTAGAGATGTCATGGATGGCTACCGTCGTGGTGGCGTCCGTGCCGTTGGACGAAGGGATAGTTTGAGCGACAGCGACTAGATTCGTCCGCTCTCGTCTTCTTTCTCTTTGGTAGTATGATTCGGCATTGCATACCCCCTTCTTGGCGTTATTTGGGCTTTTTCTTGATAGAGCGACTTGATCTTTCTTTGAACCTCAGGGTTTCAACTTTGTACAGCGAGCGCGATGAGAGATTGATGTTATGGATTGGATGTACAGACTTTGGAAAGGGTATACCAGTGATGGATGGAACGACGGTGGAGGTCTCCGAACGAATGAAGGTTAATGACCTTGTATGTAGCAACACTCACAAAGCAATACATGATGACACGGAAGTCACGATAATCAAAGACATCCTCTCCCACACTTCCACATTATACATGTTCGTGACACGCACCGACCACCAACCTCACTCACAGTTCCAATACAGCACTCAAATTGCAGAAACAACACATCTCAATCGAACGAAAAGGGTATATCACATTACTCTGTCCACTTCTTCCGTCGCAGAAAAACGAACTAGTAACTAGACTACAACGCTAGAGCTTGCTTGCTGGCATAAGAACAAAAGCGGAATCCAGTTGGGCTAATCCTGAGAAAACGCAAGAGCAGATATAGAGAGACAAGAGACTGAGACTGTTCATAGCTACATACATAGGCATTACCTCGTTGGTTTTCCGATTTTCCTTTCCTTCCTTTCCGTGTTCCGTGGTTCGTGGGCCAGATCAACTGGCCTTGGTTGTGGGTGGTGAGTGATGGGTGATTTGTTTGAGATGATAGTGATGGGGTTGTGCAGGGGTCGTTGGTCGTTACGATTGTGGTGGTGGGGGTGTGCTGATGATGTATTGATGTCGTGTTATAGCGAGTGTGCTATGTTGTAATGTGTTGAGAGTATGGTGATGACTTGGACAAGTAGGAAGCAGGCTTCCTCAACCCATAGTCTACAACTCATCCCTCACAGCCTGGGTGGCTTGAGTAGCGGCGCTGGAGATACTGCTGACAGCTTCCTCAGCGCTACCAGAAGCAGCTGCGTACATAGACGCGATACGGCTGTTGGCGGCGGCTACGGCGTCGGCGATGCGGCTGTTGGCAGACTCCATGGCTCCTTGCTCAGGTCCGTAGACGGCGGAACTGGCTGCCGAAGAAATGTAGGCTGCGTTCTCGCTAGCAGCAGAGGCAACGTACTCGGCGTTGACGCTGGCTACAGACGAGATTGAGCTGTATACACCACCGGCACTGCTTGTGGCTGAAGCGACGTAGTCGCCTGCTGTTGGCGTGCCAAAGATGGCTTCGCTGATAGCAGCTTGGGCGGATGCCGCGGCTGACGAAAAGCTATCTTGAGCTGATTGTGTTCCGTAGAGCTTCTCGCTCACTTGAGACTGAATGGATGAGTAGGCGCTCGCAACTGACTCACTGGCCTGCTCAGCGGCACCCTTGGGCGTTCCATAGAGAGCGACAGAGGCACTCTCAACAGCGAGATCCAAAGATGCGCTAGCCTGGCTCAGAACATCTTCGATCATAGCCGGAGGGGTAAAGACGGCGCTGACGACTGACGAAGCAGAAGCATACGCGTCAGCAGCCGCGTCGGTGACAGCATCGTAACTGTCGCCCGCGTACGAACTAGCAGCGTTGATACCTTCACTGGCATATGACTGGGCAGAAGCCATGGCCGCGGGCAGACCCGTGGAGTAAGCGGAGGCAAAGCGGTTCATGACGCTCTCGGTGAAGTCGGGCTCCTTGCCAATGACAAGCTCTGAGATAAGAGCCTGGACCTCGGCATATTGTGCAGCAGCGGCAGCGGTAGCCTACGTGTACAAAGTCAGTATGTCTCAAATGCATTTTATTCATTGGACGGAGTTCTTACCTGAGCACCGTAAGCGCCAGCTTGAGAGTATACAGACTCTGCCCATGGTGTAGGCTGGCCGTAGACCTGGCTACTGGCCTGAGCAATTAGTGCTTCCCAGTTCTGGCTGGCTTGGGAGGCAACCGACTCAGTCCAGGGAGTTTCTGAACCGATGACACCAGAGCTAACCTGGGAAGCGGCAGACTCAGCGGCTGCTTGGGCGTTGGCGACAGCCGACTGTGCTGAACCAGACACGTACGACGCGGCAGACTCGGCCGATCCAGATACAGCAGACGCAGCAGAAGCGGCTGATGCGGAGGCGACCGAAGCCAAAGACTCAATCGTGCCTTGTTGGGGACCGTATACAGCGCTCGATGCAGCATCAGTAAACTCAGAATAACGGGCGTGCGCAAGGCCCACAGCTTCGTAGTACTGTCGGCGAGCGCTGTCAGCGACACCGGTGGACTGAGGTGCAGCGAACTGTGCAGAAGCCTGGCTGAGGCCTTCAGCGAGGCGAGATGATGCGATGGAGGAGACCGACTCAAAGTAACCCTGAGTGGGACCGGCAGC